CCCCATCCCCTCCACCACGCCCACGTGGACGCTCACCTTCACCTGCAAGGCGAAGGCTGCGATCCCCTGTGAGACGCAGATCTCGGTCTCCCATGTGGCGCAGATCACGCTCACCTATAAGGCGTAGGTCCCGCACACCCATCCGGCGAAGGTCCCGCTCTCCCATCCGCCGGAGGTCACGGTCTCCCCTCCGGCGAAGATCACGTTCTCCCCTCCGGCGAAGGTCCCGCTCTCCACTCCGGCGAAGGTCACGTTCTCCGGTCAGGCGCAGGTCACGTTCTCTGGTCAGGCGAAGGTCGCGTTCTCCGATCCGGCGAAGGTCTCCGTCTCCGTTTCAACGCAGGCCAAGATCTCCTTTCCGTCACGGGTCACAATCCTCTGCGTCTCCTCCGCCACGCCAGGTGTCGGTGTCTCCTTCACCGGTTCGTCGGAGGTCCCCGTCTCCTCCTGTAAGGCGGCGATACCAGAGAGCACCGTCAATTCCACGTCATCGGTCTCCTTCGCCAGTTAGGCGTAGGCCAGCCTTTCCCAGCCGTCAAAGATCCCCTCCAAGTCCTCGAAGTATGTCTTCTTCCCCATCAAGGCAAATTTCTCTTTCCCCTAGACGTGCTACACCCCTGAAAAGTTTCAGGGGATCACCAAGGCGTCAACAACAGAGATCACCTGTACAATCTCCTAGAGATGGACACAGGTTCTTGATACTTCTAAATTTTTCTATTTCATTTCTTTGATTGTTACTCTTGCTTGTCATATTTTGTTTACATGGTTCTGAACCCATGGAGCAATTTTGCAGAGGTGTTCAGAGAAGTGTTGTTGATCGTCAAGCTCCACGAAAAGAGACTGCTCCACCTCCTGTTGCAGGAAGGTCTTTGGAAAGAGATCCAAAGGGCAGGAGAGCTTCTCATAATGGAGGGCCAGCTTTATCTTCGCCACAACATAGCTCTCCTTTGGGTTCTGTATCTCCCCCACCTGCTGCCAGAAGTCCTAGTGTCGAGAGGAGGTATTGCAGGCTATATATCTATGTTCCATTATAGTGTAACATTATATATCTAATTTGTTACTTTAACATGTGTCAAATTTTGCTGACAGTAGTCATGTAAAACCATATAATAGATGATATTGTTTTCTGACAACAGCCCTATACTTCCAAGGAGACAGAAAGAAACTATGGATACCAAGGACCGTATGGATATTGTTGAGGTTGAAGAAAGGACCTTTTCCAGGTTGGCTCTATATTCATTAAATATTATATTCTAAAGTTTAATTACTTAACAGTTAACATATTCAAGAGAGAACTCATTCCATTTATTACTTCCACTTGTGTCCTTAGCATACGGAAAAAAACCAATCTTAGTGGGTACATTTAGATTGGCTGAATTTGCATGGGAAGACAAATTTGTAGGTTGAGTGGGTCCCATCCCACCAAATTATGTCTTCTTTAATGGCTATTTTCAGCCTCCATGAAACTTTTCACTAGGTTTAGATGTGTAGTATAAAAGCCTTCATATCCTTATTGATATGTTTCCCTTTTAGCCTGTACTTGAAAGGATGTATAATTGTGTATCTTTGTAATTTGTTATGCAGAGTGAAGGAAGAGAAACATGGCAAGAACAAAAATTCTCCTGAAAAGTTAACTAGTCATCACCGAAAGAGGTTTTTCTTTAACTAGCTAGTATAAATATAAAAAAACCATTAAAGGGATTGTAATCTTTTTGTGATTTTGTAATTTGTTAGCAAGAACGATGATGTAAGGAGGAAATACCCGGATGAAGTTACAGAGGATCCCCCGAGAAGCCGTAAGGACATTTTAGCAACTGAAAAAGGGTATAAAGCTGGTGATGATAATAAGGAAGCAGCAGCAGCAAAGTTGCAAAAAAGTGGGTCATTGGATTCTGGTGGGTCGGATGAAAGTGATGGTGGAAAGAGAAAACGCAAAAGGTCAAAAAAGAAAGACGTGACATCAGATGATGATGATGATAGTCATGATGACTCTCACACAGAAGACAAAAAGGAAGCTAAAAAACGACGCAAAGAGGAGAAACGATTGAAAAAAGAGGAAAGGCGCAAACGACGCGAGGAACGACGTCGCAGGAAGGCAGAAAAGCAGAAAGGCAGGAAAGCAAGCGGGAATGTTTCTCCTTCGTCAGATGAAAATGAGGAAGATGCTGATCAGAAGAAACTTGAAATTGAGTTGAGGGAAAAAGCTCTTGAATCTCTCAGAGCTAAAAAGGGCAGCATTGGTCATTAGTTTTGTTGTTGATTTTCAATGCTTCTTTTTGTTTTTAAAAAACTTTAAAATATTATGTTTTCTTTCTCCCTATGACATGACATTTGCATTTTGGTTGTGTATTGTATTGTTGATAACTGTTTAATACTCTTTGTCTGTCTTTGCTGATGACAGCTGAACGGAATTCAAGGATATTCATCGTGCTGACTTCCTTCTGCTAAGTTTGCCGGTAATAAATGTTTTCCTTTTTGCTGGGGACTTAGTTTTCTTGTGCTTGTTTGGATATAGATTGATCTGTGGAAATAGTTAAATACATGATATGATGTCATTTGTTCATTATCCTAAAAATATGCATCTGGATGTGTAGACTTATGACATTTGTTTGATTTGGGCTCTTGGGGATCAAACCTCCACAAGGTGAAAATGGTAATATACAATCACATTCTTAATGATACGTATTGAGCAAGCAAAATAGTTTTGAAATTTACTTTTTATTAATAGAGATTGAACATGACCATATATAATACAATGGCACAATGCTAGAGTAGGAAAGAAATCACCTAGAGGGACTATTGACTATTCTAGAAAGGAACCATTATGCTTATCGCATAACTTTTTGGAATTCAATAGAGAACACTTTATTTAAGGGTGGTATGTTTGAAAATGTGAGAAATTTAGTTATTAGGTGTTGTGTGCCTCTTTGGGTTGGGTTTTTAGTACAATTAAAATTATGATGGTAAGGAATTCATTTTGCTACCTTTATCAATGACTGAGCTATTGGATGATTGAGATTGTCTCTTTTTGTGAGTATACTTGTAGAGTTGTAGGAGGTAGAGTCAATCTGAGAGGAGGATGTTTGTGGCTGATTAGAGGTTGAGATAGGGGAATGGTGATTAGGTGGAGCCGATTTTGGATAGTTTTATGACATGGTCTAGGTGACTGATTAATCGATGACCGGACGCTTGGCAGTCTTCATCCGTTGTCTCCATCTGACCGAGTCTACAAATAGTGGTAATTGGTTGTGTCAGACGGGCGGGAATGGTGATTAGGTGGAGCCGATTTTGGATAGTTTTATGACATGGTCTAGGTGACTGATTAATCGATGACCGGACGCTTGGCAATCTTCATCCGTTGTCTCCATCTGACTGAGTCTACAAATAGTGGTAATTGGTTGTGTCAGACGGGCTCAGTCAAAGTCAAAGCCAGCCAATGATTGGGCGTGATGCTCGTTAATGGTCAAAATTAGCAAAATAGTATATATATATATATATATATATATATATATATATATTAGTGTCTCCGATCAATCCCTGTGTAGACGATTAATTTCCTGACCTAGTCAACTAGCTACCGCTTGGCGATATTTACAACCATGATCAATATAAAAAAAATGGTTTTTATGGCTCTCGGTTCAAGTTTAATGGCTTGATACGTTTGTTGATGTGAACATAGGAAACAAATCAAAAGTTTTTATCGGAAGGAACGATCGTTTAAGTGGGGGAAGATGTTTGAGTAGAACATCAATCGGGGGAGAGGACCTTGAAAAACCAATTGAAATTTTCAACTTTTTTCTCAAATAACAGGGTACATGTTACTCCTAGAGAATGACAAGTTTCACATTGAGAAATCCTATTTTGATGAAAATGGGCTCTCTACCTTTCGAGGATAGGGGAAAAGTCTCCTATTTTGTTGTGGGATTCAAGTACATGATAATATGTGAATGGGTACCCTTGTAGTGACATAAGTTTATTAAGGTATTCGCTCCCAATTTTGATCACATATGTTTAATGCACTCCTTAAATTGTGAGGATTCATTTGATGAAATTGGAGAAGAATCATACTCAATCTAGATTTGTTTTCATTACATAAAGCCAAGTTCTAAAATAATTGTTAATAAAACACATTATCAACGCTTTAATGGTATCAAGAGACAAGAATGGTAGAAGCTCCCAAACATCGATGTGAACCAGTAAGATGTCTTGAAAATCTTAAAGTGCTTATTGGAAATGAGAGACTATATTGTGTTTGGTCATTTGACACCTTACATGATAACTCACCAATTTATATTATGAAACATCAATGGAAACACAAGCTCGATTAATGCAGTCTTCGTTAATGCAAAAGAAGTTGAACTTGATCAAACATTAGCCCATAGTGGATAATATGCATGGTTGTGTGATGAAATTGGAAAGCACAGAGACTATCTATAAATCTATAGGTAAAGAGGTATAAGCAAATGGCGGTGATCATGCAAAAAGGAGAACAATCATAGGATGTAAAGTTGATAAGCGCCTATTCAGGTTTTAAGAATGTGTTCGTCTCACATACATTACCATAAATGTGTCACATTGCTGATTTAAGTCCATGACATAAAAGACTAACATTTGTTATTCTGTTCTATAAAAAGGTGTTTTTAATATGTTGGTAAATTTTGTATATCACTAAAGTCTCAATTTCAATAAAAATAACAATTGTTAATATAGATAATTAAAAAATCTACCACCACAAAAATATATAAACTTTGAGTTAGAAAATTATTTATGACACAAATGCAACCGAAAGAATTTAACAAGCTAAACTTGATTATTACACAAATCTGTTTTTCTTGAGTGTTACTACTCTGACTAAAAATTTACACACTGCAGTAGGAAATCAACCAACAAATTGCTGGAAAGCTTCAATTGCAAATCTTTTACCGTGTATATATATATATATATATTTATATATATATATATATATATATATATATATATATATATATATATATATCTTTGGTGGTACTAGGGCCCCTCTTACAGCTGATATGCATGTGCCAACAACAAATCGCACCATTCAACGTCCAGGATCCTCTTCCATCTGCAAAACAGAAAAACAAGACCATTATTCACTTTGTTTAGTCTTGCCATTTAAAAAGTGTATTTATAGCATCAAACATCATATTTCCCATTTTTTCTTCAAATCATGGTCAGTAGTCTTTAGAGTTTAGATGCACGCCCTTTCCCACGAGGCAATTTCTTTGAACCCAAATCTTCAACATCCTTTAGTTCATAATAATGAGGTGCTATCTCCACAAGCCACTCGGGTTTTATCTCGCTGACCTGTCGTACGTACTCCTTAGTTGTCAGTACCAGTTCATGATATACCACCCACATTGGAAGCGCCTCACATAAACCAGAGCTTGGGTGGATATAAACAGTCTGCGGATGTTTAACACTTCTATAGCATCCATTCTTTTGCAACTTTGCTGAGTGTGGGAAGTATCCTGATGTTATGCACTTGTAAATTGCATCCAAGTCCCCTGAGTTTGACACCAATTCGATCTCAACCCTTTCCACAATCCCCTTCAGTTGATCTCTTATGTCACGTCCTCGTTTCATACTCCTCAACTGAATGTAGTTATCATAGCACCAGTGAGCAGAAAAGTTAGTTTCCTTCCACAAGTTATAAACATTAAGAAGTGCCACATGATCCCCAACATTACCTGTATGAAAATTCAAACGGGCATTATCAGCATGGACTTGTTTATTCTTTGGCCGATAAAACACTGAGTTTTCAATCGACAACATGGCAGCAATCGTAATTATCTCATCTGAACATTTGTATTTATCAGATGCCACAATCATCTTCGACATCATCGGGTCAAGTGGGAATTCCGCCATTTTCCTCCCAACTTTTGTCAACTCCCCATATTTATTAAGTGCACCCAACGCAAACAGCAGCTCCAAAGCTTTAAGCACCGCCTCAGATGGTGGTGGATCCATAAAATCAAAATTCAACAAATCATCGATTCCAAGACTTGTTAAGCTCAAAACAACATTTGCCAGATTTGTCCTTTGGATCTCGGGGACAGAATTGTTGTCCAATTCGTTATAGTAAGTGTAAGCCGTGTACAACCTGAAGCACTTCCCGGGACCCGTTCTACCCGATCGACCCGCCCGTTGATTTGCTGATGCTTTTGAAATTGGGATAATCTTTAACGATTCCATTCCGGTTCGCGGGTCGTAAAAATTCATTTTCACGAATCCCGGGTCGATAACGTATTTGATTCCATCGATTGTTAATGATGTTTCTGCAATGTTGGTGGCAAGAACCACTTTCCGTGCCCCTTGAGGAGTTGGTTCGAATACTTTTGCTTGAAGCTCGGTTGGGAGATTTGCATAAATCGGGCATATTACTAATTCAGATATTTTACTTCCTAAACCACGTGTTCTCTGTTTTAGGATCTCTTGGGCTGTTTCGATTTCCTCTTGACCCGTGAGAAAGACCAAAATGTCGCCATCTCCAGGGGGTTCATTGACATGGATTTGAAGAGCTGTGGCAATTGCTGCATCAAGGTAATCGGCCTCTGGTACTTTCGTGTAGTTAATCTCAACAGGAAATCGCCTTCCTGGAATTCTAAAAATTGGGGCACAATCAAAGTAGTCGCTGAACTTTTCTGCATCGAGAGTGGCACTTGAGATCAGCAACTTGATATCAGGGCGGAAGCGTGCGATCTGCTTAAGTAAACCAAACAAGAGATCCGTTGATAATGTTCTTTCATGAGCCTCATCCACCATCACCACACTGTAACTTTTAAGATCAGGTTCACCTAAAAATTCACGAAGCAACATTCCATCAGTCAAATATTTGATCACTGTTTTCTCACAAGTACAGTCTTCAAAGCGTATTGCATACCCAACCTCATGACCAAGTTTGACATTCATTTCTTGAGAAACTCTTGCAGCAACACTCATGGCAGCAACTCTTCTTGGCTGTGTGCATCCGATCATCCCATGTTTTGTGTATCCAGCCTCATGAAGATATTGTGGTATTTGAGTCGTCTTCCCTGAACCAGTTTCACCAACAATCATAAGAACCTGATGATCTTCAACAGCTTTTAGCAAAGACTCTCGATACGGATACACAGGTAAAGTTTTTCTGTCTGCAAGAAGCTTCTCGTGTGCTGATTTTGCTATGGATCTTTCATGTTCTTCCTCTTCCTCTTCATCAACATTTACACCACCCATGACTTGTTCCTGTATGAACTCAATCTGGTCCTCAAACACAAAGTTATAATCGTCAGATTGCTTTTTGTTTTTTGATCGAAATTTTAGCGTTGCTTTTTTAATCTGATGATCCTCCCATGCTTCTTGTTCGGCAAACAGATTCATCTTATCTCCATCTTTTGAATCTATGTATCGCTCCAAAGCTACAGCAAATCTTTTCTCTTGATTGACTCCGCCTTCTTCATCATATGCATCAGGCATATGATACTCATTGACATTATCATCCACTTGTGACCGCTTCTTGACTAGCCCATATACTTGTTTCTTGTATCTTAGCTCACGTTGTTTGGCTTCAGTTAGCTTGAAGCCCTCAAATAGATACTCTTCATCTTCTATATCATCTTTGATTTCCTCCATTTTCTTCTGCTCCCTTTTCTTGAGATACTCTTGCCTCGAAACTTTTCTTAAAGCTCGAATGTCATCATCTTTCAAGGCATTGGCTCTCCTTATTGCTTCTTTTTCATCCCTCTTAGACAACTTCTGTTCAGTCAGCTTTCTTATTCCTGATGCATCTTTTTCCCTTAAACGGCGCTCCAAATCTTCTCGTTCTGTTTGGTCACGCAATCTTTCTTCTTCAGATTCAGAATCATCTGATTTGTCATGAGAAGCTTTTTGTTTGACCCTTCTTTCTTGTTTCAAACTTCCAGAACCCTCATCATCATCATCATATGGGTTTTCGCTCCTCTTCCTAAATCTTTTCACATCTTTATCGACAACAGAAACAGAGCCACCATCTTTCCCATCATCGTCATCTGCCTCCAATAGCGTGCAAGTGATCCTCTGCTTCCTGGTTAGCATTGATGCAGCCTCTTCTTGTTGTCGATAAAGATTTGATCCAGAACTCTTATGTTCAACTTTCTGGAAAATTTCTTCAGCAAATGCACGTGTTTCGTTTGAAGATGGCACACCCATATCTTTACGATCACTAAATATACCAGAAGATGATGAATCTTTATTAACTAAACTAATTAGGGAATAATATGGACTGAATCAGCGTGGGTTGTGAATATCCCAAAAGGGGGATCAGTCTTTTTAAACCCCAACTCAAGTTAAACGTATTGGACAAGTTCCGTGTTGAACAAGTAACTGGTCAAACAAAGCCACCAGATGTGTTTTTTCAGGCTTCTAAAACATGTTAAATTAGGGTTATTGGATTTGAAATTTCGGGTTGGTCGCTCGTAAAGGTAACTTGGTTTTCTGATTTTTCTTTAAATATATAAAAAATATAATATAGAGAAATTAAATTGTCTTCTATTCCTATAAATGTTCGTATTTATTAAAATTACAACACTTGTTATCATTCAACCATCCTATAAATATTCATATCCATTAAAACCACTACACTTGTTATGGGTATTGATAGATATGCAACATATGTAGTTCCCATTAGTGTTTTCTTCGGTAGCCTTCGTTCAAATGCTGAAAGCATTAAATATGCAAAACCATCATCCATATCTTTTATTAATTTTATTTATATAATAATATAATGAGTGAATGTTTTTGGAATGGATACATACAATGCCAATAACACACTTATCATGGTAGTTCTAAATGGAACCGACAAACTTAGGTGAGATGTGTTATTGAGCATGTCGTTGTTCATGTTTCCCTTTTTTGCCATGTAGTTTTGCTTTCTTGTTTGTGCCATGGTATTTGTTGGAGAAGATTAACATGGAAGTTTCACAAATTCAATTCAATTTCTGCATTATCTTCTCAAATTCTATTTGTGCTTTAGCATTAAACCTTTCAATTTTCTTAGTAATTGAAAGAACATAATAACAACATTGGTAATGACGATAATACAAGGAGTAGAAGTAGATGAAGAGGCACTTCTAATGGCATCTTCAAGGCTTTCTTATATTGCATGTTCACAACTTAATAGCCGATATGCATGATCATGATGATGTCATTTGTGATCAAAGTACCTTGCTATATCGAGCCATTATGGAATACAAGATCATCGAATCTGGATCATAAGCACTTCTCTTATCTTCTTGTGTTGATCGACATTGATATGTTATTATTGTTTTTGGTGCCCGTCCATTCATGCATTCTAACCATGACTTGGATAACCATACATATGTTTCTGTATCCTCTCGTGAAAGCAAACCATATCCAAATAAGATAGTTTGTCCATGGTGATTTACTCCAACAAAAGGTGCAAACGAAATATTATATTTGTTTGTCAAATATGTGTCATAACATCTACCAAAGGGCTTGTGGCCCAACGGTATTAGGTGTGGCGGAAAGGTGCCCCTCCCCCAAAGGTTGAGGGTTCAAGTCTCGTTGTGGACAAATGAGTAGATTTAGGGGTATGATTAATGGGTGTGTGTGCGCTAGCCGTTCCAAAAAAAAAGCATCTTCGAATGACTTGTAAACTACGTTAGACCTTGCATCTGCTCAAAATACATTTTACATACGACTTTCATCATCCATGTCAATCACGTAGAAAAAAATTTGAACTCCTTTTTTGCATATGGAGAAAATAATTACGAAGTGCCTTAGCATCCCCAAGCCCGAAACTTAGTTGTCTTACTTTTGCGATGTAAGATCTATAATTTGTCTTGCCAAACAAAAAATTGCCATACCTTTCCACTTCAACAACTAATGAATGAAAAATTTTGTTTAATGAAATTCCAACATAATCATTCAATTCAAGTCTTCTCTTAGCATATGAATCCATTTTCTTATGTGATCGTTGGAAACAAGTTTTTTTTAGGACTTAAAGCATGGTTATTGTCACACCCCAAAACTGGAACGACGGAAACGTTCGGGGGTGGAGGACGTCATGTTCAGTATCACAACAATGCAAAGTAGTAAACAAGCAACAACATCATCCATTGCATTAATAATATAATTTCATACAAGTATGTTCTGTCAAGTTGTATAGACACCAAAAATATACATCAAAATAAAAGATGAGTCTTGAACGAGCTCCATCTTCTCAAAACCTGGCACCGGTACCTGTCTACTGGTGACCTGAGAATACAAGTTATTTTGAAAGCGTAGATCAGCTTTAAAGCTGGTGAGATCATAAGTATATTAATGTCTGTGTTTGTATGAAAGTGTTTGTAAGTCTGTAATTGTACAAGTTTGTAAAAGTTTGTAATTGTTTGAACTCTCCTAGAAAACCCTATGTTTCCTACTAAAAGTAGCCTTCTACCAAGGCATCTAGTATCTGTGTGTGTGTCTCTTGTAAGAGTGTGTATTTTCCCAAATCCTACTATCATTAACCAAAAATATAGTTTTTACATTATTGTTTATTGTGTGAAGATCACAAAGTAAATGTAATGGGAAAATGAAATAGTACTGTAGTGTTGTATTAAGTAACTACTGCTGTACTAACTACCTTAAACCAATTGTTATTTAAAGTACCATGTGATCGGCCTGTATCCTGCTACCGACTCTATAGAAAAACGACGATGTAAGACGTCGTAAGAAATGACGTTTGGCACCCGTAGACTTGCAAGTCCCACTGTAGCGAGCATCAAGGTGTAGGATAGTCAATCCAGTATAGATCTATACACAAACTCATACGCTCCCCACTTAAGGAGATTCTGGATACAAAACGGTTATGACAGGTAGTGCCATGCCCCGTTACGTGGCTCACATAAATGTAATAATGTTCTAGTATATGTATGTGCTAGCTGTATTGTGTGTTCTCTCCCTGTCTAGCATGTATTGTTTGTTTCTCATCATAGTATTCTATTGTTTGTTTCTCATCATAGTATCTATTGTTTGTTTCTCATCATAGTATCTATTGTTTGTTTGTTATTGACTCATGTATGAACTGACTCATTGTATGTTTCCCTGTTCTAGTAATAGTATTAGTATCTCCCTAAACTATACCTATTATAGTTTACTAGCAATGTTGTTTGAATGTATGAACATGTTTGTGTACCTTTGCTACCCAAATGTATTGAACTGAATGAGGTAACCTTTTATATCTATACACATATACATGATATATAACTAGGATTCAAACGACCTTCGGACAAATAACCTGAATACCCTAAGTCCACAACCAAACAAGGAACAGGAAGTAAGGTGAACTATCAGTCATAAGTCCTTTCAATCCTACTTATATAACTATATCTACATAGATACACAGAATATAAGTTAAAAGAGTTTAATAAAAGTATTTGATATGAAAAAGAGTTTATAAAACAGTTTGAAGTAAAACAGTTTGGTAACACAGTTTGAAAGTAAGAAATCCACTTGTTTGGTAGTTATTAATCACATGTGATTGATATAATAACTATAATTGTTCAACTTGTATCCCCCTCCCCCCCATAAAAGCATTTAAAAACATTTAAAAGGTTAATTAAGGGGTATGAACTCACCTGTAGTGAGTGGTTTGGATGAACGGAATGTATAGGATGCTAAGTGTCAAGTGAAGACTTGAACACACACAAGGATCCTAGTTAACATATAATAACACATATATGTATCCAATTAGTCTTTAAACAACTAATTAACAAAGTTAAGACATCCTAGGACATGCAAAACACCTTATTTAAGTGTTATAAGTACTAAGGATTGCATCTAATGGTGGTAGGACCTTGCATTTGAGTCTAGGGTTCAAGGGTGAACTCCCTTGGAATTTACGGTTTTGTGACCATAACCCCTTGAGTTTACGGTCGTAAACCCATGAGTTTACGGCCGTAAACTCATGGTACTTTGACCATTTTGTGTTTTGAAGCCTTAAAGGTCATAAAAGGCATTCCTACTTCATGTTTAAGCCTTAGGAAGTGATTAGGGCACCATTTCACTCCTTTATGGAGTTTACGGTCCTTGGACCACTTATCTTTGGGTTTACGGCCGTAAACCCAAATGATTTATGGTCTTTTTGTTGTTTTGAGTTCCTAGCACATCAAGGAAGGGGTCTAGACTAGTTTCCAAGGCTTGGTAAGGGACTAGGGCCACTTTGGCCCCTTTGTTAGGGTTTACGGTCCAAGGTGTTCTTGGACCGTAAACACCTTTGATCCTTTGATTCTTGGGTGTTTTCTTGATGATTAGAAGTGTAACAAGTCTTATAATACACTAGGATAGAAGTACTTACTAGGTAGAAGCTTGAAAAGGTGCTAAGAGTCCAAGAACACTAGTGTGTGTTCTTGGTGTTCTTGGTGAAACTTGAAGATCTACACTTTTGGAATGATTTCACGGATGGAATCATGTAAGATCACTAGATTAAGTAAGATATCAACTTTTTAGGGATATAAACACTTACAAAGTTGAAGATCTTGAAGAAAAGTCGGATGATACTTGAGAGAGAAATGGGTTTTGGATCTTGAAAATGTGAAAAGTGGTAAATAATGACTAAGTGTCATATTTATACCCCCTTTTAGGGTTTACGGCCGTAAACACCTTTGTTTAGGCCGTAAACTCCAAACTCTTGGAGTTTTGGGACTTTATTGTTGCACAATAAACCCTAGGGCATCCTCTCTCCTGTTATCTCCTGAAGTACTAACTTTAAAACACTCAAACTTATTCCAAAAAGCTTGAAAGTTAGCAGAAACTGATCTGACTTCTATTGAATTGAATGGTTGTACAGAATAGAAATTTCGGGTTGTCACAGTTATGTTCAAGAAAAACTCGAGAGATGGTGCATCTTCCATCACCATATGCAATTACGCATATTTTTGCTTTACAATTTGTTTTATAAGACTTTTGATATGTTTTTTTGTCTTAGGTACATATACACCTCCTCTAGCACATCCAAGTAAGTAGTATGTTGTAGCAATACAATATTTTGTTCTTGTACTAGTTTTTCGTACACCAAATCCAATCTGGTATGCATATGTTTTAAAGTAATTGCAAAGTTCATTTTCTGTGTAACGTCCCGATTTTTCAGAATAAAATTTTCATTCTACAATATAGATCCATATGAGTGATTACAGTTCATTAAGAACTTGTTAGTTAGTCGGAGTAATTATGAATAATGTTAGAAGCTATTGAGAGGTTATGGAGCAGTGTTGATACCTTAAGGTCTATATGAGCTTCCTTGTAGTTATTGTGACTTAAAAAGGTCATAATCATTAAATGAATAAGATGTATATAAGTTCAAAACAAATTGCTTACACTTATTACACCCATTTGGGTCAT